TCTCCCCCACTCTTAGCATTGACCTACATGTTATAATAATGACGGGTTGAAGTAAATATGTAAAGTATGCAACTTCTTCCAGACCTCTTTATTTCGTTCGTGAAAGAGATGTACAAAAATTAAAATTTTTTTACACTTGTACATCTCTAGGATCTGCCAACCTGTATTCTTGGTTGGTCGTAGACATACGATATGTTGGTGATCCTTCATTTGATTCATAGGAGAAAATATAATGGACTTTCTAATTTGTGACATAGATTCTATTACTAGACATTTTCAAGGATTGTCTTTCTTTTGGGAGGCATTGAGAATGAGCCCCTACGTACGCTGGCCAGTTACCGCGCATTTTTCTTCGTTGTTTTTGTCACATATGCTACAACCTAAATGCACTTTAATATACTTTATATGTAAAAGAGACACAAGGATCCAATCGCTCTGACAAATGGCTAACGCTCGAAACGTCAGCCTTTAAACTCTCTACAGTAGCCAATTTACGTTTTCAACTCCGTTGATAACACTAATTTACCCTTTGAAAAATTGCTCTTGTTTTCAGGAGTCGGCACTCTGACCATCACATACCACTTGCTGAAGCAGAGGAAGCAACTTCAAAAGAAGAAAAGACAGACAGGAATAATGGAGAATAAAGAACACACCCAGAAATAAAAGTGCATTTAGCATACAAGGCAAGGCATCCTCTTTCCTTTAAAATATTTAATAGAATAGCGAGAGCAGATATGTTTAGGCGAAACATGGTTTTTAAAAATTCACTCTATTAACGTTTTTGGGGCATTATTTGCTCCTATTGACATATAATACTCGCGTTAATTATAGCATTAGATGTTTCCTTAATGAAGGCATCGTTCCGATTTACAAAAATCCATACTCTATAGAATAATCAGATATGCACGTGATATTCCCGTTTGAAAACGGGCTGTACCGGTTTTGAACAAACGTACGTTGTCATTATTAGCAGAGGTAGTACACGAAGTGGCAATATTCATAAATATTGTTATAAGCTAATAACAGTGATACTGATACAGTTTCAGTTGAATTCATTATTAAACGGGTATTCTTCAGTTTGTAGACATGCTTGTTCAGGAGGACAGCAGCAAGACATGAAAAATAAAGTACCTCGCTTCATTCATGATTTTAGTAAAGTTTTAGCAGAAATGTTATGTCATTTGCTTTGGTGCTACGTGTGGAATCCCCTTGCCCCTTTCGAAAAAACACATGATATTTAACTCAGTTATCTCAAATGTAAATACTTTTAGGGTGGAAAAAATAACTAGGGGATCTTTAATTATCCCCGGGGGGAAGGGAAGTTTTTGAGGGGATCACACGGTTTTCCAGGGGTAAGTTGACTGCCAATAAACTTCCGATGAGGAGGGGGAGGGTGGTCATAATATTATTATAGAGCCTTTCGGAGGATGAGGCACATTCCGTCATGACACAACTAAAATTCTCTAGCTTAAATGTAAACTTAAATAATTAATTTCACTTTATAACAGATGAGTAGTTCTTTTCGCGCGCACTGTTTGGCTAAATTGGAAGTGATTGGCCTCTACTATTCATCTCCAAGCAGCGGAAGAGACAAATTCTCAAGTCAAGAATATGATTTCTGACCATATTTGGGTATACTGTCCGTGAGAAACATTTGGATATTTACCTCGCCTTCTCGCGGCTCGGTAAATGTCCACCACTTTCCTCTTCCCTTCAGGGATTAGATGTGATTAGACGATACAGTATTGTTGATTCGCTATTATCGACTGCCCCTGCAGACAAAATTTTCTATTTATTTAAATCGGTTTTATGTGTTTTTTAAATACGGTTACCATAAGAGTTCGGTAAATTTGTTTGATATATAGCCGAATAGTTTAGTCTCTTCACCTTTACACTGGAAAAGAAACCAGCCTTATAAGTTTGAGCATTCAATTCAGGTTGGCAAAATTTGAAACATTTTGAGTCAAACGTGGACAGTAACTTTGATAGCTTTCATTAATGTTTTATTTCCTTTATATGGTAAACAAAAAAATCCGACCCCCTAAAATGAAGATTAATGTTAAAGCCTAAGAAAATATATTACAAATCAGTTTTAGAGAAGATTTCGTCGAGGATAGAAATACATCAGAGGCACGGCTGAATTTGAACAATAAATGGTGGGCAGGGTTTCCCTGACTGTAGTTTTGCGATAAAAAAAGGTTCTGAGATCTCTCTTTAATGTCAAAACGTGATTTTTTCATCAAGCCTCACCGTTTCACTGAGTGAGAATATCAAGGACATATCCGAAAGGCGTGATAGATTTACTTCTGTGGAAACACTCCTTAAAATTGATTTTATGTATAACATGAAACATGCCACGATGAAACACACTCTCTGGTTAAGATGATTGCTGATTTCTTGAGTGTAGCGCTTTTCTATTTATCGGTTGCAAAATAAAGGCAAAAACTATTCTTGAATTTCCCACCCGTACTGCAAGCTGGGCAATGAAGAGAAACCAGTTTAATATTTGAGTAACAATCATTTCCTCGTAAACTGAGTTTTATTTACACTTAATTTCACACGCACAAAGATATATTTTGGACCCTTGGGTGTTAGCTTCGCCTGCTAAACTGATGTGACCGTTCACAGTCATTTGCTAAAGCGTTCGTTTGCGCTTAAATGTTCTGTTCGAAATTCTGCAAGTACGTGCATCTGTGGTGAAGATCGACATCACAGATAGATAAATCCACTATTTAGAGTCCTTCAAAACGTTGTTTAACAGAAAACAATTCTTAGCTAATAAAAAAGATAATTAAAGTGTTTGATCTCAGGAAATTTTATCAATGGCGCTTGTTTTTGGGCAAAAGGCCTAATTATGTATTCCTTTTTTTGTTTTCGTACAAAGATATATTTTCGACTCTTTGGTGTTAGCTTCGCCGGTTAAACTGATGTTTATAGATATTTTCTAGAGCGTTCTTCAATAAAACTGTCAAGGAGCAATTGAAATGTTGGGATTTTACTCATACCGCAATTTCAAAAACTGTAATAAACTGAACCCTTTAAAAAGGAAGCCATTTCACAGGTCGATATTAAACAGCACTTAGAAAACATATTGATTGTCAGAGAGACGGGGCGTAGACGACCTAATTAACGCCCCGGGCGTCTTTTAAATATAGTACGATAAGAGGAGGAGGGTTGTGGAATTATTACCTAACAGGTGTTTTTATGGGAAGGCATTTATTGACGTTTAACATTGAAATTCAACTGTAATAACAGTATATTACGTGCAACTATAAAATTACAAGAGAAAAGAGGAATATAAAACCGTTAGTTTTTAATTTCAATGCCCCTGAGGTTCGTTGCACTCATTAGCCTCATCAATGTCCGAATCTCTATAGAGCGTCACCCTTGCTACTCTGCTGCATATCAATAGTTAGAGGTATTTCGAAAACATTTGAAATTTCTATGGGGCATTAATAAGATATAAATTGGAGGGATGGTGTTCATTAATTTCGGCTATTAAAATAACCTGTGGGTGATGTGAGGATAGCCCTGGTTGTTTTGAAGGTGTATGCAATGTACTTCACGTGATGTAGCTAAAAAAGAGAATGCTATCATTTTAAACTGATGTTAAGCCATTATTTGAACTAAATGGTAGGAGTAACAAAAGAATATGATAGAACCAAGCGTTATTACACAAGGAAAGCTGGAAAAGGTGTGATTGCTGTTTTAAAAGACAACACCACAAGAGGCAAGCCCCTCGTTCCACGAACTGTGTTGCTCAGATGTGGTGCGCCGCCAGATCTCCAGTGGTGAAGACTCTAATAAAGACAGTGTGGACGTGATGCTGATGGAGGCACTTGCCCAATGTTACCAGGCTTCCAACACTTGGGAGAAGCGTCGCCAAATACTTTCCATCATGGCAGATAAGGTGCGCTTTAGCAAACTCCTTCGTTATATTCCTTGTCTGACCAACTATCGATTTACGGACGCCAAACGCCATTGCCTTACCTATGGAAGAGGTGGACCAGTAAAGTCCTTACGAGCATCCAGGAGAGACATCGCTTCTTCGCAAATAAAGCATTTCATCGCCTTCATAACAAGCTCGCACATTGTACAAGATTTGCCATTCGGAGAAAGATCCATTACGCTTAGCAACAAAGAAACTATAAAGATACCAACATGATGATTCCTGAAAGAGTGGTGAAACAATATTTGGCCGACTGTGACAGGATGAGTTTCAAGCCCTTGAGCCGAAGTACGCTTCTGCGTATCCTTGCTGTTTGTCCCACCTCCGTTTGAAAGTCACTTCAAGGCTTAGATTACGTTAGTTCTGCAGGATCGCAGGCATTTGAAGACTTATCTGACGTCGCAGAAAGACTTGAAGACGCGGGGAAAGGCATGATGGGCTGGAAGAAAGATATACAGAGTCGCCTTCGACTTGGATAGCGTTACCTCAAAAGGGATTACAAGGCAAAGGTTCTTCATATTCATTCTATAACGTTCTCAAACACGTTAACTGTTCTAAAAGCGGAATTCACGTTTGTAGAAGGTGCTTCTCTACCGATTAAGCTCATGCACTCGTGTGAACGAAAATACCCTTTTACGAGAGAGGCAAGCTTCAATCTGAGCCTGGCTGAAATTTTTGTCAGGTAAAAAGTTGATCTGTAATTTTCTTTTAGATCGCAAATATTGCTGGAAAATTTGTTTCTTTTTCTTTCGATTACTTTTTTAGAGTTTCGCAATGACTACTTTTTTAGTGTATATTAATTACATGGCACCCAAGCCCATCAAAACGTATGAGCATTGCATGTGGTCTGGTCAACTGTCGTGTGTAATTTGTTTTGTGTGTATTATAAGTGCACGCGTGTTAGGGTTCTACTGTGGCCGATCACTGCAGATTGTTTGCGTTGAGCGACCCAAAGGAGTTTGCCTTTCAAGCTCAGTGCGGCCATCATCATGACGACACCTGTGATCGCAACGACCAACTAATGTAATCTCTCAGCGAAATAGAATCAGCAATGATCGCCCAGACATATAACCTGCTACCCGAAGTCAAGGAAGAACTTTCGTTTACTGTAAAGCAAGCTATAACAAACTGGAAGGCTCACATAGTACGCTCCTCAAATCAAGATGCTGCAAGGATCGATATCCTCGAGTCATTAGAGGAGTCATCAGTGCTAGTTATACTGGGCTATGAAATATTTGCCGAGAAAATACCGAGAAAGTCAAACTGGTTGGTTTGGCAAACGTGGCATTACTTGGCACCCCAGCGTAGCCTTCAGAAAGGTTAGCGAACGTCTTCAAATGCTAACTTTCGCTCACATCTTCCAGAGGTGCACTCAAGACAGCTGTGCGGTCCTCGTTATCGGACGTTATTAAACAACTCAAGACCATCATGCCAGATCTGGAGACAGTCAGTTATAGCCAAGACAACGCTGGCCGCTACCATAGCGGGTCTACCATAGTCTGCGCAAACGTGATAGGAAAAGAGTTGGGCGTAGCGATCAAACGATTGGATTTTTCAGATCCCCAGTTTGGAAAAGGAGCTAGTGATCGTAAGGCAGCCTTAATAAAGTCACACATGCACATTCACTTAAACTCTGGCAACAATATCGAGAAGCTCGCGCAGATGGTTGAGGCTATTCTTTCTTCCGGTGGAGTGGCATCCGTAAGTGTCACCCGCTGCGAGTCTATCACAAGCCCTCCGATGGTCACTTGCAAAATTGATGGTGTGAGTAAACTCTCAAATATAGAGCTCACTATAGAGGGAATCCGTGTATGGAGAGCATACGGCGTGGGACCTGGGAAACTGATATCTGCTCCGAAGGCTGAGATCCCATCACCAGATACTCTGCCGTCAATGGTAGTATACTCCTGTCGCACCCAAGCTCTTTCTCCTCCGTCGTGAAAGGGCGGACTACCACAACACATCCAAGTGAAACCCATGCCACCAGAGACCAGACGGAAACCGACGAAGAGCCTGCAACAGCAAACGAGGCACTGTTTACATGCCCAGAAGAAGGATGTAGTAAGTCATTCCTGAGGCACTCCTCCATGATGTAACACTTAGACTGTGGCAAACACCAACGTGCGCTAGAGCATGAGACGCTTTTTGACAAAGCTGCATTAGAGTATGCAGAGCACCTGGAGGGACAGCCAACGCTGGTACCGGTAGTCGGAACAGTCAGCTCGCCCGTAAGTAACACAAACAGAAGGTGATGGGCTAAGCACTTAAGTCAGATGAGTCAGGAAGAACCAGGTTCACCCAAAACCAGAAGTCCTATCGGACTGCAAAGTTTAGAATTGGAGAGGAGAAGTAAGGCAGATCCAGCAGCGGTTGCACGATCAATGATGTGTGACAAGGATTCGACTGGCAACGTGTTGTTTAAGAGTAACGAATTCCTGACCGCTCATCAAATAGTAGGTTTTTTTTTCACGTCTGGTCTCGAAGAAAACCCTTGTGGATGACGAGCAGCAAGGCGATATCGAAGTTGTTACACTTGAGGCTGGTTTGGACGAGATTGTCGGTGAGGCTGTCCGTGAGCTAACACCTAAACACCCAATTGTTTACGATGCCTACAATTCGTGTGAGCTGGCGTCCCAGAAGAAGATGAGTGACTTTTCCATTGCTGTATTAAAGGACATTTTGAATTCTTTTGACGTTGACCTTTCAGATGTTATAGTTGGGCGCAACAAGCCCTACATCGAAAAGCTGCAGTCGCTTTGCGAGGAATGCGCATGTCAGCGTTGAGGGATGAGTGGCTAAGCCAATGTTAATTAATTGTTCTGAAAGAACTTTTATTTAGTCATGCTGTAAAGTTCGTCGGGAGCATGGGGAAAAAATCTTTGTCGCCGTCCTGTATACCCTCTAGGATTCTTAACGACGACGACTGATTATAATGAAGTGTGTTAATGAAATGTGCTTCTGAGATGGAAAAAAAATGTTACTCTTGTTCTCACTCGATTCCGATTTTGTTCCAATAGCTGTCTCTGAAGCCTTTCAAGGTGAGATACGTGTCCCTAATATTGGAACCATTTATGTACTGATGTCGCAACCTTGTTCCCAGGGTTTCTCTTCTTCCCACCCCAATCTGAGAACTAGGTTGTCCATGTAATGAAATGGTCGCTATCGTTTTTCCTAAATGTCGTCAATTTATTCGTTTCCTTGAAAGCCCTCTAAAATAGTTTAGCTAATGGCCCACAACACATAAGTAGTAATTTAATGTTTCCTCTTTTAGCTGCTTCTCGTTCCTCATGCAGTTAAAAACTCGGGGTCTAACAATCGCGTAATCACACTTTTTCTATACGCTTTTGTAGTTCGATTGTGAAACGCCGCTTCCATGAAAAAAAAAGAAGAAAGAAAATACACGAGTATAAGAGGACGCAATGTTCACATTTGGGAAAACGTGTGTCGCTGTCTCAGTTTTCCATGTTTCTCAAAAGCATGAAAAAAGTTCCTGTGGACTCACCTGCTGATTACCGTACATTCCCATTGCGTGTACTGATAATTTGGAAGTATATCTACGTAATGGCACGTTAGATTTCGTCTATTTGTGTGGCTTCTTGGTATTTTGTTTTGCTTCTAAAAGATCATGACTTCCAGTGGTAAAATCTACTTCGTAACCATTGCGTGACTTAACAGATATGATCACGCATATCAAACTCTTTCCCCAGTGCGACGAACATTTGTTTTTCTCGGTTCCAGGTGTACGCAACCACTTACCCCACGTAATGCGCATGCTCTCCGTTACAAATGTTCAAAATGGCGGACAGGTCAAGGAGGGAAATTAAAAAAACAAAGCGATTTTGCAATGAATTCTCAACATACACCCTCGTTAGAAAGGCGAATCCACGGAAGAAAGATTCAAAACTGTATGATATTGAGATCGATATGATATTAAATCGATACCGAGAGCCCGTTTAATTGCCTTCCGCCACGATTATTAGCTTTCTTGACAGCTTTCTGAAAACAGAATACTTTCTTTCTGAAGACTTCTGATATGCGGCTATTGATTATTACACCTCGTGTACCTGATTGCTCAAACACTTTGTTTACGATTGTTGAAAGGACCGACTCATGGTTCTCCGTCTTCGTCTTGACATTGCTTTGAAATAGTATAGACTAGTAAGCTGAAACGAAAAATTAATCAGGGAAGTTTACGAAAAATCCAGCAAACAAGCTTTAAAAAGGCATTTATTTAGACTTCATACTTCAACAAACTTCACAAATCTTACTTGTTTATCTTGTAAGTAAACGATGGCAGATTAATTCCCGGAGCGCTTTCTGAGTTTCCCGATCCCTCTCCTACTGCTTTCACGCTCACAAAACAGGAAAAATCAAAAGGAGGAAGATACAGCTGTTTTGAAACGCCATTTGACGAGGGTAAATCTGCTTTTTGTTCGACACTTTACATGTCAAAACAAAGGAAATTTGTTCCTCTTTCTTGTTCTGGCGGTACATTTTTAATTTGCGCCTGCGTAAAAGAGATATCGCCCGAGACCCTTCGCTCGGTCGCGTTTTGATCAAAAACGCCTTGTTAATTTCACGCAACCGCTCGGAGAAAAGGTAAAAATGACGAGGGAAAAACTTTACCTTCAAGTTAGAAAATTAGCGAAATAGAAAGCCAAAATATTATAGTTTAATATTTCAGAGGTACATTGAGTGCTTTTTCCGTAGAGAATCCGCACGATGGTAAAACATTCGAAAATTTCACTCGATTTGAGTGGGGTGTTGAAGTGGGCGTGGTCACTACATTCATGTTAAGACTATTTGTACCCCATGAGTTTGATATGTTGCATAAGAGATTTCGGCAAAAATTGTGTTTGAAGGCTGTAAAGAGCATTTTGGGAGAAACTGCTTTGAAACTCAAAGCAAAACAAATTATTTTATTAAAGGCTCTTATAGGGTAGTTGTAGAAAAAATAAGCTGGGAAAATGGAATAAACTCATGTAAGTTGATCCGGCTCAGGGTGACACTAATTTTAAAATGTCTACCCGAGATGGCTAATCTATTAGCGATAAAATACTCACGGAAATTACTGACGACCACATAGATGAATTAGAATGTAAAAATTGTATAATCGTTTGCTTACGGGTGTGGAGAATGTGCTATTTGTTGACTTCCGGTTGACACGCTTTTGTTGTGATAACCACTATTTTAAGAGGCTTCCTACTCGGCGCTGGTAAAAAGCCCGAAACTAATTTTTTCACCCCATTTTAGACCAGCATTTATTCTCACAAGAATAGCAATTTCAAGTTATTCGATGTTTAACCGGGTACAAAAAATGTCCCTTAAAAAAACACGCTAAATTACAAATTATTCGAAAGAATTGTGGTTAATTTCATCGGCTTACCTTTAGATTTTATTCACTGGAGTAAGATTTAAGTCAAGTTGCAAAGACTTTCAATAGCAATGTTGAAAGCACGAAACAGTTCTTTCTATGATGCGAATGCATTTTATGGGAAGGTACCAATCACGTATTTTTCGGATGCCTTTCAGGACATTTTGGCTCGTTACAGCTTTTTTTTATTTTATGGAATTTTAACATGATTTTACTAGAAAAACATCCTTATCACGTTTCTTAAGCCACTATAGGGTATCTTCAGAGAAAATATGAAGAATTTTGATTTTATGAGAAGTGCCACGAATTTCCATTTTGGCTCGGTCTTAGTGGACATTCTCTCTTAAGCTTCCAGTCTAACTACATTATAAAGTTTTTCTTCTGTCTGCACACCGCGGCCATTGCTATCGTTATTGTGGTGAGTAAATTGGAATGTAAAGTTATCGTATATTTCATCCCCAGTGTCAGTGGTGACTTGAGTTTCGTTGAGAAAATTTTGCGGAGAAAACAAGATCAAAAGCCTGAAAATATTCCTTAATTTGGATAACTATGAGCAAAAAGATGTGAAAGTCGAGGCTCTTTGACGGACATTCTCGAAAACTTTACTAAGGAGTTATTATCAGAAGTTACGACCAACTCGGAAAGACCTTCCATATTCCTCAGGAGCTACGGCTTTGCAATCAAGCGGACTAGGTCCCTTTGGAAGAATAATATTAAATCTATATTTTTATCATTATTGTCATCGTTCCTATTTCAAGTTCCTGTAAGCATACAATTGATCAACGCCACCATCCTTGTTTGATCTTTTTCTCAACCTTTAAATAAATCAATCGGCAATGGACTTAGCTCTCCCTCGGTGAGGATACTCTCCGAAATAATTCCCAGATGTACACAAACTTAAGATTCGATTTTAATCGTGATTAGTTAAGTTTTCGTATTGTATTTCATTATGAGGTTTTATTCGCAATTGGAATCGCACAATCGATATTTGAACGGTTTTTGATCAAGTGACGTAAAACCAAGGCTAAAGTAATTCCCCAAACGGAACAAAGTAAAAATTGCAAGGTTTACGAGAGCTGAAAGTAAACGCCACGATTAGAAACTGATTGGTTGATTGATTGGCAACAGCTTGCGAGTATGCCGTCAATATCAGCGCTCCTGCTTAGGAGTTTCTTTGCCCACGACAAAGTAAGTATGAGGTCGTGAGAAAAAGGAAAAAACTGGGAAGGAAAGGGGTGCACGTGCTGCAGGGCAAACAATGGGGGCCAGCTCGCCTGCCCCTAGGTTACGATCGTATGAGTTTATAGACCAATCGCAGAATGCAATGCGGCAAAAGCAATCCATCACGGTAATTAAGCTCAGGCACTTATTAGAAGATTACTGTGGGTTAGATTATATGATTTTGTCAAGGCCCACTCTTTCGAGTAAAATAATCTTAGGGGTATGTCTCACTCGAATGGAGAGATGATTTAAAGTTATATGGATTGCTTTCATGCGAATGTGAACGAAGCCTCTTAACTGAGGTGGGAAATAACGAAAAATATCCAGTGAACAAGTAAAGATCAGGATATACAGTTAGATATCAAATCTTCGACAAAATGTTTGGGACAACCTTAAATTTTATTTCATTTCTTAGATCACAGTTCATTGATTCGTTGGTTCCACTTCTTTGTTACAATATACATTGTTAAGTAGATAAAGTAGCATGCATATTTTGAACACAAAGGATGGAAATATAAGCTCTAAACACCTCTTTCTAACCGAGTTTGTAACTAACAGTACAGCCCGAGAAAAACGAGTTATTGAGATGTTCATTATATCTCCGGGTTCAAATAGTGGAGGTAGATTTCAATTTAAACTAACTTTTGAATTTAGTGAGGCGTACAGAGAAATATGGCCCGCTCAATTGACCAATCATAGCGCACATATTAATTGAGATATGATAAAATTGTGCATTGATCTGAATCTGGTTATTTCATGCAAGATGCCCCTTAGATTCCTGTCAAAGATTTTACCCATACGCCTTTCAAGGAACATAAAAAAATCGTAGGTTATTCAATGGAACGTTTTTTTTTTCATCATAGCAATCCACGCCTTTAGGAAACAACCTAATTGATTTATCCTCTAATTGAAGGGCTTCTTGAACAAATGCGACGGTTTGTCCGGGCATCATAAATTCATTTAAGAGCTGTTGGTTAAGAGAATTACCACCCATTACACCAAACGCTCCAACGACTTCGTTCGTTTTCAAGTTCAAACAACAGCCCACTGTCCACATCGAGTTTGGAATTGCGATCTTTGGTCCGAGTTTAGGGAATTTATCCACTATTTCATGGAACCCCTCCAATTGTTGCACCGACTTATCCACCCCGATTATTTCGTTTTCAAGACTAAGTCTCTCCTCAAATTTAACCTGTGATGTACCAGTGATCAGGTAAAGAGTTCCGCCCTTTGGAGCACAATAGTGCTGAGCATATTGCACTATTTTCGTTTCGTACTTTTTCCACTGACCTCTGTTGAAACCTGCAATTTGCGGCACGCAGTTGGTGTAGGTGAAAGTGGCACGAGCACTATCAAGGCTGTAACGTAAGATATTAACAGGAACGACGTGGCCTCTGTCGTATAAACATGGGATAGGTTGGTACTTGTACAAGTCTTTGCTTCCTTGATGATTAATCCCTGAACATGAGAGAGTTTTAAGATACACTGATGTTACTCACAAGCCAAGAAGTTTTGTTCTCGATTTATCCGCTAGGTAAATAAAGTTCTTACCCTCCCGATCACAGTTACGAAATGTTTTAAGTGAAAGATCTCAGTTGAGTCAAAGAAATGGTTTGCATAACATGATTATATCATCATGCATGACTTTTCCCACAAGTTTCTCCTCTTTCCATCTGTATTTTTGCTCCTTTGCACCTGCAGTGTAATACCGTTGCATGTTTCGCGTCTACCGTTGCCCTAATGTGGTTAAATTGCGTGAGAGAATAATGATGCATAATGTAGATGTATATCTACTTAATATCTATCTACCCATCTATCTATCTATCTACCTATCTATATATAAAAACACATACATGTATATATATGTATATACATCCACTTTCGAAAACGTTGCAATTTGAAAACAAAAATGAAATATATACACATTTTGTTTAATTTCTCATCACAAAGTGTCTCATTTTGAGGAGAAAAAAAAAGTATGTATATATATTTCATGTATATTTTCAAATTGCAACGTTTCTGAAAGCGGGTGTTATTATATATATATATATATATATATATATACATATACATATATATATATATATATACATATACATATATATATATATATGTTGTATGTATACATTTCCTAGTGTTTTAACTTTAAGTTTACGAAACATTCGGTCTCATCTCAGCATCTTATCGATCGCATAACAGTGCGTGAAAGACGAAAACAACACGAACAAACGGACGTTGTAGTAGTGGAATGAGAAACGAATTTATTTTATGCCTAAATTACTTTATCACAAAAATAAATTATAATAACAAAACTAGTTACCTGGAGTTTGTTTCCACGGGTCACCTTTAGGTCTTGGTACTGGGTCTGTCTTGGCTTTGTGGGCTTGTGCGGCGGTAATCTTGTAGAGTGTGTACCGTGCAATGCCCCAATAATTATTATAGAAAATGCCATATTGATTGTCTGGACAGAGGGAAAGGGTGACATCTTGCTGCTCTGGAAAGGTCGGTTTACCACCACGCAATGAGAATGGGTTAAGATCGCACTGTGGTACCATGCGACGTACTGGTTGTTCACCCAGGTGTTTTCCTTGCTCATCATAATCTTTGACACCAGAAAAGGTCGTCTTTTTATTCATATTATCACATGTTTCTCAAAATTATGCTATATGCTTATCCTTCATAGAGCTTCTTCATTCGGATGAAGATGACGATTACCTCCTTAGGGGTCCGTGTGTTATTCCTCCATTCGATTCTCATTCAAGGGCAATGATTAAAGTTACTATTTAAATGTTTGATAAATCAGTTTTTTTTAAATTGTTTTGCTGAACAAAATTAGACCTCGAGTAAGAATATCTGTCTTTCCGTGAAACATTCTTGCAAGAAATGCAGTAGAGGATCATTTGTAATTTTCATGTTAGCTCTATGAGCTCTACAGCAATTGAGTTTTCGTATACGAATCAATGAACCGGTAATTTGTCATTTATCGCTTGGCAAAAAGGAGGGTAGGAGGAGGAGGGGGGGGGGTTTGTAGTGTTCTAATGATCCCCGCTCATTTACAGTAAATTTCCTATAGTTTTCCTTTTATACTCTGTAAGCAACGACTGATCCCCCTTTCATTCTCCTGAAAACCATATGAGCCCTCCTCCGGCCCCAAAAAATATTACTTTGGCTCCAAAATCCTTCTTCCATTTCTCATTCCCTCCCCCTCTCCCCCCACGCGATAATGTTGGTTGCTTCCTAGTGCAGAATTAATGATGTATTGTTCCGGTGAGGAGAAATTTGAAAAATCTTTGAAACACGTTAAATCGGCGATGAAGACCAAAATTGAAAACTGACCTTAAGTTTGAGGAAGGAGGCTCTCTCTTTCTCAGTTCTTTGGAGGACTGACTTACTTCTTTGAAGACTAGCGTAACCTTCTGCAGTTAAGTCAACGTTTATCTAACTTTCGCTACGTTATCTGCCATCCTCGCAAAATTGATAAAAAAAGATGAAAACTCGAGACAAAAGTCAGTTTTCAATTACGCTTTGCTCGGCCATTGAGCGTACACCAAATATCTCAGTTTTTCTTTTCTCCTAAAGATGCAACGATTTGCTTGTAATTACTAGAAAATTCTCTAAGAAAAAACTTCCGTCAAATTAAAATTAGAGTCCATCATAAGTTCTTTTGTTCTATTGTAAATTATTTTCAGCAGGTAACAGATACTGTTACTCAAAGTTTAATTTTGTCTATACATAGTTCAAAATTTGTCGATCAAACATCAATATGAGGAGGTTTACGTTTAGATCTATTATCGGTATCGAGTTAACAACCCACACAGAATCCACCGCTTGAATAGGCTTGCTCTATGTTTGCAAAGTTTTAAAAGTAACGACCGCCCTTTAATGTGTGTCTACTGAAGAACTGTAGCGTTTGAGACTGAGAAAAATATTTCCGCGTAAAATAAGTTCCAAGGGTGCCTCAGACAGACTAGCGCCCGCTAGCGTTTGAATTACAGTCCCAGAGGGCTTATTCGGGAGCAACGCTTAATCCAACGAATACAGTTTGCGTGTGGGAAAGGGATTGGAAATAAAGGGAACACCTTTTTTACCTTTTCCTGAGGTTTTCGTCACATTCGTTGCTGCCCATGTTAAAGTGGTTAGCTGAACTGCTACAAGCAACGCCAAGGGGAAAGCGAAACCAAGAAACTTCATCTTCACCGTATCGTCACAGAGGGGTACAACTGTCCAGGCTTATCTCGACTGCTTAGCTGTTGTGATCTCTTCACTATGTTATGTTCTTATAAGCTTTAAGATTTTTGTGATTGAATACATTACATAATCTATTTCGTCACAATTACCACAGAGGAATTCATGGCATCTTAATGGATCTCATGGTTCACTTGGTCTCAATTTTTTTTTTTGACATCCGATGTTGTCATCGTATAGAAAATGTCTTTCTTTAAAGCTGAAAGGGCTGCTTGAAACAAAAGATGTGAATACCTACAGGAAATAGAGTAGAGCTTTTAAAGTATCTTATTACATTCAGTCTGATTGAATAACCAGTTGATTTCGACTCTATTGCTGGTGACCTTGAAAAGTTTTTGTCTTAGTCAACCTGTTAGTTAATAAATACCTTAAAGGGAAATATTTTTAAAAGTGTTTTAGCTTCTCCTCGGGAAAAACATTAGCAACCGAACATTTTCAGCTGACAAATAAGCCACAAAGTAATATGTTTTCATCTTAAATGTGAAGCTCTTAAACACCATCTCCTCACTCCAACTACTTACAAAAACTCTTACATATTTTCTGAATCTTAAATACCTCAAGATTAAGAAATCAACCTATCGATATGATTGAAAATTCCAAATTTCGCAGAAGATAACGAATGACAAATTTATCCACCATATTGCTTGCGTGATGTCATACTGGTAGTTGTGATTTGACCAATATTAACCTCGGAGACGCCCCCTCCTTCCTGGTTTTAACATAGAGGGCTTAATTCTCGTATGATAGTCGCCATCGCTAGTTGTGTTTGGGTTTGTTCTTGACCTTGCTTAGAGTCCTCAACGGAAAGTTTTGTTTAGTTATCGAAGATTGGTTGTTGTTAGGTACTTTGTTGTTCATTTCGAATGTCTTGTGAGATTGTTTTGGTGAGCGTTCTACAAATATGTTTACTCTGCCAAGGCCAGTTGTCCCATGAACCCACCCATGCCTACCGATAGGGTATTTCAGAGAGCGCACTTAGGGCTAAATTTGTCGAAGAGAGACAGAGTCTCAGAGAGTGAAATAAAGCTCCTGAACAGACTCTTATTGCCTCCGTTTACGCGAGTTGCTCAAAATAGATAACCAAAACAATCCAACACTCTGTTGGCGATGATTGAGCCCCTCCCCCCCCCCTCCACCGCTCTACCTGAGCCTTATGATCCCCCCAAAATCCTCTGACCCCAAAATCTTTTCTTCCTTATCTTGACTAAGTCATCTGCCATCCCCACAAAAACCTCCTAGGAATTCATGGCATCTTAATGGTCTCATGATTCACTTTCTCTCAATTTTTCTCAAATGATATTTTATGTTGTCATGGTAAAGCTAAAGGGACTGCTTGAAACAAAAGATGTGCATACAGGTAATTGGGAAGAGATTTTAAAGCATCTTATTACACGTAATTGACTTCGATACTGAAGCTGGTGACCTTAGCAATTTTTTGCCTTAGTTAACCTGTAAATTAATAAATATCTTTCGTGGAAAGTTTTATGCAAAGATGCTAAATATTCTTTTATCTTGAATTGAAACAGCAATCAACGTATCTCCTCAAACCCTAAAAAAGTAATGCCTTTACTGAGATATTCAATTTGTTAACAATTAATGAAAAAACGGTTACTCGATTTTGTCGTGATGAAAATCTAGGGCTAACAAGATTGCGTTACTGCTGGTTATAAAATTTTAAAACCTCATGTGGACGTTTCGTGGCTTTTAATGATTGAAAAGGGAAATTGCAATGTTCCTCGGTAGACCTTTCTGATCAATTTGATACGATTGAAGAAAGTTTTCACAATGGAATCTCTTTCAGATAGAAGCCAAACGATAAGACTCTTGGATAAAAAACAATTTTGCCTAAAGTCCTGACTAACACCCCAAGAACTCAGTCTCTGTCATTTTGGTCCTGTCCTTCAGTGATTGACAAACATATAATGTTATCAGAGGACGAAAAATGAATTAGTTGCAGGCGTAAGCTAAATGAAAAGTTTAATAAACAGAATGACCAGTCTAGGAGTAATTCTCACTTTCTAACCTTTATTTTTCAATCGAGTGCTTTTTGATTGCGTGTCGTTAAAGCAAAACAAAAGGAATCACAACAATCAATCAGAGGAAAAAAAAAGATCTTTACAAGCAGATGCGAACTCGAGGTAAAAACAACCAAACTGCCTAAAGCGCGGGAAAACGCGGGCGACCAAGTCATGATTGGTGTTACTTTTACATCTAATTGGTTGAGAAAGTGACACGAGCTTTCTGGACCAATCACAGAACGAAGTAGAGTTAAACCGATGCAATCTTGGATTACTTTCGACTCTCTATTGAAAATTTCTCTAAAAATAACGATAAAAGCCCTAATTATGATCTACGATGAAACGAGCTCTTCCAACAAATAAAATTTCCTAACTAAATACATCGACATCTACAATTATAGATTTCAACTGCAATTTTTAAAATAAATCGATCTACTAAATAGTTTCTAAATCTAAGTTACGTTTAAGATAATAAGGAAATATAAGTGATTTTTACCGTTTTTCTCTGACATTCACTACCAAATAAATTGCCCCTAAAATGCTAAAAAGATAAGGAAGAACTGAATTAAAACATTTCCTTTTCCAATGTCGAACAAGACGTTTCTTCCTAAACTAAAGAGGCGTACATTACCTGATTAATTTTTTTTTGATGTGAAAAGTGGCAAAAATTCTTCTTTCGCTAAAAAACAGAGTAGCACCATGGTCTTAAAATTAAACAAAATGTTCTTTCGACTGTTATGATATTAGCTACCAGTTACAGTCGAATGAAGAACTTGCGCTATATATATTTTTTCTCATATAACTAATTCACATTGAGCTACCAGCCTGTGAGAAGCAAAGGATTTGTTTTGTCAATTTCTAGCTTATAATATGTTCCACTTGCTCACCACATCAGTCTCTTATGAAACTTATAATTATAATTTTGACATTCTAGGTCTAAGGAGAAATGAATATTAAACCCTCTTCTCTAATAATTCATAATCCTTATGGAATTCGCTGTTTTCAAACTAAGTTTGCCTTTTATCTCGCAGAGTTTGATAAAAGGGAAAATTCAATTCTTCTGGGCCCAGCTGTTCGAAGGCCGATAAGCTCTAGCTCAAGGTTAAATTTTAATCTAGGTTTCTTTATTCCTTTATACAAAAGCCTTTTTGGGATAATTTTCTGTGTTCTTTGAAGAGCATCAAATTCAACTGAATTTCTTTTAAAGCTTTCAGATCTGAAATCAGATGTCACACTAACCTTGGCTTATCTTAACCCAGCTTTGAACAACCCGGCCCTGGCGAACACTATAAAACTAATACATTTCTTTAGATTTCGCTGGCAAGTAATGATTTTTTGTATCGTGGTAACTAGTTATATTTTAGTGTTGTAATTAACTATGATACTGATGCACCGTAATACAAATGGTAAGCAATTTCCAATACAAGGAATATTTTAAATCCCCCATCGATAGATACTTGAAACAAATATCAATTTTTGCTTCAGTAGCTCACAGCCACTTTGAAAATAATTCTCTGCGAAAATGCGTTATAGATGAAAGGAAAAAAACCCTACTCACACTTTGTAATAAAAAATAGCTTGATTCCTTCCCCTTGTAAAAACTCTTGGATAGTTTTGGTTAGCATCAGGATTGCGCTTAAAAATATTAATAGTATATGTGTATGATTCATTAGAAAGGTATTGCATCCTTTGACTCCTTGCTCGTGTTTTAGCGAAAGAAATAAATCATCTTTGTGTTGCCTACGAGCAGGTCGTCATTGTTAGGGCTTTGGCACAAGCGTTCGTCACCCGTTTGAGGCCCAGAGTAAGGCGAGAAGTCGGCAAGAGGTCTGGTACGAGGTATTATGAGTGCCAGACCCCTTGCAGACTCCTCCCTGGCTCGCTTTTCTCAACGCTTCAATACTTCACGCGGGCAAAAAAATGCTTGTGCTTAAGCGCCAATAAATATATTTGATTAGACGTTTTGGTGTTTAATATCACAGAGTAATTTGGTGTATAGCATCGCTTGGTATTTTACGAGTTATGCCGTATTTTATCGAGCCCGTAGGGCGAGTTAAATCCCAAACCACGAGTAACGATACTCAGCGATACAACACACCAAAACGCCTAATAAGTTATTTATTATTCAACTGCTTTTTGTTCTGCCAAGTTTTTCTGCTCATTTCTTATATGGCGGGAAAAGCAAAGTGAATAGAGAAGCGTCTTTTTACAGTACAAAATAACCAACTGTCCAAATGACCGTACAATATCGCAAGATATTTGTACTCTACTTTGTGCTGTTGGATAATAATAAGGGCTTACTCGCATGCTATCTATTGTCTGATATCAGTCGTCAAGGACATTGAGTGTTAGGTGAAGATATAGCGGTTTTTGTGTATATAGATTTAACCTCTTGCGATTAAAATCCGTTGGTTTCTGATAGCTGAAAAAAAAAAAAAAAGAAACCCTGCAGTTTAAGACCGTGAAAAAGCAGTATCAGGATAACAATAACAGCAGACGGACACACAATATTTAGACAGACAGACATTAAGATAGTCAGAAAGTCAATCAAATAAACACGGCGAAAATCAGTTGGTCAGAAAGATAGACATTCAGATAAAGAGGAAATCATTGACCGTCAGGTAGTCAGAAAGTCGGTCAGTTAGAGAACTAGGCAGTCAGCCGTTAAGGCAGACAGACAAACAGACGGACAGACAAACTGACAGACAGACAGACAGACAGACAAACAGTTACACAGTCAATAAAGGTAAGCGCAGGGTTTTCAATGACAGCCAGTTACCCTCGATCTACCGCCGCCTTAATCAGACCTCACACCGCTCTCGTGTTTGAGTTTTGCTGTACGCCCCCTTTTCCGGGCTCAGCCGCCTCTTCAGGCACCGTCGGCAGCCGCTTATGGCAAACGCTATTAAAATCCCTGTCAGTGTCCAGCCCAAGAACACAAGACAGTATTCCGGAATTAGGCTCTGACCCAGACCCTTTTAATACGACCTTAAGGCCACCGCTTATGTCTGTACAAACACTTTAGTCAATTTTGATTGCTAAGATTGCTTATATCATGAAAGCGTCCCTGATGCAGTTAACAAATAGTCGTATTTACTTACAGTTCGATACAGGCAGGACCAGGTTTAAATTCGTCCTGTTCCATGAAAGCAAAGCACCTTGTGCTCACAATATCCTTTTTCGGTTTGTAATGTTTAAACTCGAAGAATATTGCGGTACCTGAATTGTGAAAACAATGAAAAGTCTTAACACGTTTTAACTGGCCAGTAACTAACAAGAGATTCTCTCTTATAGTCATTGTACATTTTAACTTATAAACATTTTAGGAGAACGTTGGCTTTATTAGAAGGTAACATCTTCCTCCTGAGAACTTTGTTCTATCACCTGCTCGATTGACATGGCAAGGAGAAATTTTACATTATTTTTTAACTTCCAGGAAGTTAGAACAGATAAGGCTGTATTTGTCAGAATAAATCAAACATGTACAGAGTGAGAATCATGTAAGACAAATGGAAGGGATGTACGGAAAAAGCTCCTTATTGTGACTTCTTATAGACTACACCATTTTCCTTTCAAATTTTCCTGTGTTCCCTTGTGAAACAGTGGGGAGAAGAAGATGCTGCATCACAGCCTTTTTTCTGTGTTCCCTTTCAATTAAATACTGACCATCCAAAAAAAAAATTTTGGTCAAAACAAAGCTTTTAAATTTGACATCAACAAATTGTACTGGCTTGGTACTCATTGAATTTGTTAGAAATGAATCAAACTTCCTCTTCTGAAATCTTATTTAGCTGTGATTGGTGGAATTCTCTCCTTTTTTTAAGAGTCCTCCCTTTGACAATGTTCTTTTTGACAAAGAGCCCAATAGACACATGGAATTCCAAAATAAAAATTACAACAACTCTAACCTCTTGGAAGTTTCTCTATAGGCTTTTGAATTTCTACATCAGTATCAAAGTTGATAAACTTTCCATTAACTCTGTTTGAAGTGGGTGTATCTTGAGCTGGGGTGACATTCACACCATTGGCATCTGAAGAGAGGAAAACGCTCAATAGTTCAATATAAATTTTGCTGCATTGTATGCATGTTTTGCTGTATTTGTTAGCTCTTTACACCCTAAATATCAGTATGCATATTCTCCATACTGTTCTCCTTACATTTCCTAAGTTGCTGGTAAGGAGAATGTACCTAACAATCAAGAACTTCTTTTGTTGGTGATCATTTCGTTTATTCTTGTGACCCTATGTGTGTTTTAGGGATGAAATTGAGAGGAGAAATTACATGCTCATGGTGACTCTTAGGGGTTAAAGGAATTAGTTAACATCCCCTCCACCTTGGCATTATAATAATCATTGATCGTTACCTTTCACAGAAACAGTAAAAAATGGATTAATGTACACATGGGCATCCTTCAGTCCAATCTGGTTGATTCTTACAACAAGTCGATGATATCCTTCTTCGAATGGGATACGTGGCAACAAAGACCCTCCTTCAGCTTAAAAAACAAGAAAAAAGATGAACATCATTATATGACAGAGAGAAAATACAACAAAAACAAAAAAATGTATGACATATGTAAGATTAATATCTGAAAAAGGGTTGTGGTTGTTTAACATGCTAAATACACGACCAGATTATTTCAACTGAGTACTGTTACTAATAGTTCTCTTCTGTAAGTTTCTAGAACTCTTTCATAAATGGTGTGCCACACTGCTGTTTTTATTGCATTTCTGTAAACTAGCCTTTTCAATCAGTTGGTATAAGCATGTTTTAAAAACAATTGCAATATCAGGAATTTTCATTCAATCAAAAGCACATTAATTTTCAAAGGGCATAGAAGAGTATTAATCATGCCCAACTCTAATTTTGAGGTAACTATCGCCCTATCTGAAAATGGGATCCTAGGCAGTATAAGTAATCTGTGTCACACACTGAACTGTATGATTACTGATAGAAAAGACACCAGACATAGTGATGTTCTATGACAGAGTACACTGGTGTACTCAAGTAATAACTTGAATGCCTATAAGATCTTAAAGTGTGTTCATGCATTAAAAAAGGAAAGAACTCACCAACTGAAGAAACATGCTCAGTTCCATTTTCATCTCCATATTCTGTTACATCAGTATCACTAACAAAATTTATAAAAATATCATCTACTCAATAATAATTAAATGAACAATTACATAGGTAGGAATTTGCATTTTCAGTCAGCTTTTAAAAATTTTTGGGGCTAATACAGAAAAGAAAAAAAAGTTGTAGGCTTTCCATCCTTCAGATAGCAGTAATATTTGAGAGACAATTTGCATCAGAAACCAAAGAATGACCCTGAATGAAGAAAGAACCAAGGAAAGGTTCAACTTGCCAATGATCTGGACAGGACCCATCAAGTCACATGTCACTGAAGACCTGATCAATTTGGTGATCTTTATTTTAGAAGAGGCAAAAGTTTAATTGGCCATTTTGCAGTGATGCATTTAGTTGTCAAGCCTTTGATTTGGAGTGAGGCTGAAAGTGACCTTGTTGTGATAGAGACCAGTATCTAATTAGCCTGATAACAAAGTAATTTACAAAGCAGCAATGTTTGTATCATAACAAGGTCACCCTTAGCCTCACTCCTGTTCAAAGGCTTGGCAGCCAAGCATGCAACTGCAAAATGGACTATAAAAAATTTCCTTCCTGTATGTGTGGTGCCAAAAATTTGATGAGCTAACCAAGATCATCTATTCAATCAGCTTGAAATTTTAAATTTTATTTCTTGCTGGCCCAACCAGTTATAAAAATAACAACCTAAAACTTACTTATTGATCTAAATTATGACTAACCTTGTTTTAGGCTCTTCGATCCTGACTGGAAAAGGACCATTCCAACCTACATTTAAGTTTCTCAACACTGTGCAAAAAGAGTTGATAATGGTAATCTGCTGTTAAAACTGTTGTAAAATAAGAATTATTTTAAAAAGACAAACCAGTTAATAGAAATATTGTGATGAAGCTGGCTTCAAAGGAATATCATTGGGACAATTTTTGTTGCGCTGAAAGTTGAGAGGTTGTTATAAGAATATTGGAGGGCATTTAATCATTACACCACTGTCTCCCTCAAAGAGATTGTATCAATTGTTTCTAAATATGAATATTTCTGGAGTTATCAGGTACTCAGGCCATTACAAGCCAATTTACAGTTGTTTATGTTAGTTGCTGAGCCTTTGATCTAAAGTGAGGCTGAAGGTGACCTTGTTGTGATAGAGACCAGTATCTAGTTAGCAACTGATAACAAAGTAATTTACATTTAAAAAGCAGCAATGTATGTGTCAATTAACAAGGTCACCCTTAGCCTCACTCCTGTTTGAAGGCTAATGGCAACCTAGCACTCAACTGTAAAATGGATTATTGAAACATATACTGTACAGTTATATGCAGGGAGCAATGACAGCATAGTAACAAACAATGCACACTCACCTTCACCAACTTTCTTGATATCATTAAATGAGATCTCATCATCTCTAGCCTTATTTTGAATCAAAATAAAAAGTAATAATATACAATTGAGAAGATGAACTGTAAACATTTCAAGACTAAATCAATTATTAATTAAAATTAACCGATTGATTTACTTCCAAATTTTTGTGTATGTGATTATAATAATCATTGTTATTAAATTTTCAACTCTGGTTATTGAATTTCTAATGCTCTGATTGGCCCATTTAACTCCAGTTATCATATACCCAATCACCAGGCCAATCACCTTATATAGAAACTAATACATACAAGTATTTCTTAATCTTAGGATTAAAACAAATTCATTAAGCTCCCATAGCTAGTGTTCATAATAAGACAATTATTCTATTCATGCTTGTTGGACACAAGATTTGCTATTCATCATTTAATATCCAACAGCGCTTATGAAATAATTGTTAAGTATTAAGCTTATTATAGTAAATGTGTTTCGAAGATATGGTGCCAAGGTTATACTAAATTGATGCACTATTGATGAGCAATCTCCTTCCTAAGCACTCACTCTTCTCAATAACCATATACAGATCAGTTGCAAGATCCAGGGGTACAAATGCGTAACATTAGGGAAAAACTAGCAACTTCATAAAATTACCAAAAAATCATCAAAACATAGATTATTCATAAACTTTTATTGTAAGAACTACTTTTTGAGAAAATATTTGATGTTATCTGTTAAATTATCCTCATTACTTAATACCCAGAATGCATAGCAGGCGTGGTCATATATTCTATTTACACATTTGCAGGCTTAAATTCACGATTCTGTTTAGAAATAACACAGTTTTATTTACATAACTAAAAAGAAGACATAATTTCCTCATGCTGGTTGGGTAAAAGCTGGAATAATACATTTCTACGCCTATTTAATTTCTTGAGTTCTCCACAGATAGTCCTGACAGTGTTTGCATACAGGTTTCGGTTGCGCAAATGATGACTCTTTTCTATTCTGACGAAGTTTTCGAACCCTTTCTCGAGTTTGCTGTCGCTTTTTCTCTTCCCTCTCTTTTTCTCTTTGCTTCAAAACCTTCTTCTTGGTAGCTGATGCAGCATTCCGCTCACGGTTGGCTCTTTTGTCATCAGCCTTTTGTGCAGATGTGCGTGTTTTCACTGCGGCGACTGTCGCGTTTTTTTTCTTGCTTCGAAGCAAGCGCATTCTTTCTCTTGCTTTTTGTGCAAGAACTTCTTTGTTTCTTTCATAGTATTCCCTTTGTTGTTTAAGCTTTTTTTCTTCTTTTTCTTTTCTCCATTGATCAGCAGAATATTTTTTGTTTTCCATTGAATATTTCGCAAGCGAAGCGTGTAAATTCTCGACGGAAGAAGTCACGCTAGGGAAGTCACGTTCTCTAGTAATTTCCAGTCTCAAACGATCGTTTGTTCATGGGTGTATATCAATTAATTGTTGTATACCCCCTCTAGATGTAATGTACAAGGTTGTTGTAAGCGAGGAAGAAGCGAAGTTTAGATGCGAAGATTTCTAAAACTGCCACTATTTTGCGCGTGTAAACTGATACACCAATGCAAACAATACTGTTCCAAGATCGAATATGTTCGCGATTCAAAAAAGACATAAATTTAGATGTTAAATTGAGTTAGATTCGTGAACATTTGGTACCGATAGAAAGTTTAGAATTTGAGAATGACAGATCTGCTAGTTGAAGAGCAATTTCATTTTAAGCGCGGCTATCACAGACCTTTTTGGAGATGAGGATAAATAATTTTAAGGTAAATTTTCTATGCATTTTATGTGTTCGCGATTCAGACTTTTTGGATTTTTACGCTGTCTTTGAATTAAATGGAATAAAAATTTGTATACAGAAAATAAATCATCTGAGAATTATTGTATGTATTTTTTAAACTGATTTGAGCTTTTTTTTTGCGACAAAATCTTGGTGACTATGAAGTATAGTACAATATTGTATAAACAGCGTTACATGTTCGGTCGCCGAGAAAATTGTTTCGTAGCGCGAATATTACAATTCAGTGTTCCAATTTTAACTATTTTATTGAAAAGTCTATGTTTCTAGTGTATTTCTAAGTCAAAATTATTTTGAAATTTTAAATTTTTAAGTAAGAAATTTTTGAATATGTTTGATGCTTTGTCAGATTATGTTACGCGTTACATAAGAATTCGCCTCACTTTTCTGAATACTAAAATCCATAAAAAAATAAATTCTTCCTCTATTACCACGATTTTTGGTTTAATACAAAGAGGTTAACTATATCTAACAGGATATATAAGTTTTAAAGTGTTTTGTTTGAAATATATATTTTTTTGCTCAATATGGTTTTCGTAAACATGCTTTGCCACCCTGGATCGTGCTACTGATCACAGTATATAACAGAACTCACGGTCTAAATGAATTTCGCCTTTTTTTTTCCTCATGCAAGAAAAAACCTCATAATATTATCAAACCAAACATGATCACAGTCAAATTCACCTGAGTGGATAGTAATATTTTGCTTCTCTTCTCAAAACAGGCTGACATTTTAAGCATCAGTTTCTATAGAACAAACATTACATTTAATTTGTTATCAATAAAATTAAAGCAAAAATTTGTGTGCCATAATCATGTAAATGGCTATGTCTATCTTTAATTCTTGAGCAGTAAATGGAGCAAATGGACCAAATCTACTTGGCCCTCCCTGCAAATGTTATTTTTCTGCAATGGTCAAACCCTTTCAAGTGTTTACAGTCATTTGAAAGCACTGGAGTGTGTCTAATAAAGGGGGTAAGTTTCTAAAGAAACTGCTGGATCAGTGTGAGAATGTTCAGGGTAATTTGGTGTAATATCAACTGAGTTGATAATGTAAATCAGCCAACGTAAAGAATTTTAAAAAGCTGACATTTTGAGCATTGGATGAAGGGCTCTGATGAAGGGCTAACGCTTGAAATGTCAGCTTTTAAACTCTTTACTGTAGCCAATTTACATTTTTATCAACTCAGTTAATAGAACCAAATTAAACTGAATGCTCTCACACCAATGTAGCCCTACATTTTCTTTAGAAACCTACCCCTTTTACTTACGTGTCTAACGAATAGATAGCCAAAAGAATCTGTCTGCTTAATGAATATATGAACTACATTAAATATTACTTAGTGGCATATGCAACTCAGTGTTTTGGCAATATGGCAAGTCAGGGGTGTGTCTGTTTCAAGATTGATGCGGTCAATTAATATATTTTGCTTTAAACATTGATTTATACACAATAATGAAAGTTTTAACTCTGTCTCCACAAACCTTCTGTTCCTCTTGAAACATCTTGTTTCCCAGAGTACAATGTTTTTTCAAGTCTCTAGCGAGTCTAGACAAAACAACTTTCTTTATTAATCAGTGGTCAACTACAAGAATTTCATTGAGGAAGGTTAAAGAGAGAGAAAAGCAAAGAGAATCAGATTTGAAAATTCTAAATAAGCTCATTAGTCAATATTGTGGGCAGATTATCAAGAAAAATTTTAATCCTTCAACTCTCAGAGTTGATTGACAAGTAACTTCTCCCCAGTGTTCTTCTTTTCAGGCGGTAACCAACAAAATTTACTGCCTGTAATATCTCTTATTACTATTTAAAATTGCTTGGAATTCTTGAAAATTCAACAGGTAAAAGGATTCCTTTAATGGTTTGAAAATTTATTTTATCTGTCATGCTTAAAATAAGGGAGAACACTGTTCTCCCTGTAATAAATTCCATATATTACTCAGCAAACAGGTAATGACAATACTCAGCTAGATACTTATCAGCTAGATGTTAATTCTTGATCTAATATTAAAATCTTGTAACTAACTTACAAGGAAATCTGTAGCAGTTAGAGGGGAGAATTAATAATCAGATCTTGGGAAAAAAATTAATAGATAGGTATATCATATATATACAGATTTAACAGTACATAGTCAGTGGCTACATTTTAAATTCTCCCCAAGTGTAAAAAACAAAAAAAATTAAAATTGTGAAAATTAAATATTAGGTGACATAGATTTGTATATGACTTAGGCAGGCCTGAGGCCATGCAAAAAAAATTAATTAAAAATGACAAAAGAGAATGTTTACAAAGTATTTCAAGAGAAAGACAATTGAAATTTATTTATAACAAAAATTCACCTGCTAGAGCAGTAAAATATGATTAAACTGGAGCAGAGCTTATTGCTTAAAATGAAACACTTACGTTTAATATACATGTTATATATCCAAATTTGAACATTCTAAACATTTATCACCCTGAACATATCTAAAAACGATTATTTCTACACAGACTCGCGCTGTTGCTACCGCATTTATTTCGACAAGTTTATGTTAAACCATTCCTAGATAGCTGTTACCAATCTTCACAAGCTTATCATAATACACAGTCTAGGGTTTTTTTTAGTCGTGAAAAATATACACACAGTAAACTATGATCATCTTCTCTTGGGAAATTTCTTGGGTAGTTTCAACCATTTATACTGAAAATGGTTAAAAAAAGACTAAACCAGAATCTTAACTAAAAAATTAAAAATGTTTTCTGGAAAAATTAAGCCACTTTCAAATTCTGAGGGCTTAAATTTATTCCGCAAACAAGAATCGAAACAGTACCGTTTCATGCAACACTAAATGACCTTAAAAATTCTACCTATTCAGGCCAAAATCCACTAACGAAGCTAGCCATAAGTAGCTTAGATAGGCGTCGTTGCTTCCTATGAGATTGCAGTGAATTACGGAGCAAAATGTGTGTACTGCATATGAAAGAGGAAAGCAAATAAAACAGACATATCGTTCTTATGTGGTACCTTGAATACTCCTCGGCGGCTTCCACCAGCTGGCCCCAAGAATCAAAATCTTTTCCTTTTCAAAAGAGACATACCACTGGTTTATTGTTCTGGACTTTTCAGTCATACTTTCGTCTAGGTAGTTTGCAGATCCATTTTTTTGCAGGTGATTTTCAGATATTGGCCATTAAGCGCAAGAGACTGTCAGCAAATGTACATGATTCGATACATGAAGTAACTTCCGAACACTTTTGTACCGCGGGCGCTATTAGTTAGCCTGTCTCACGAAACACGCACGCGGACGAAATACTTCAACATGAGAGAGGAATTCTAGATACTTTGGACAAATGTTTTGTAAGTATCTTTTGCAAACTAAATGTCGACCGCTCAAAGAATTTCATCTATTCTCTCTTTTTTCCATCGAATTGTATGTTAAAATTATTCAGCTTTTTAGTCTGAACTGAAAATTGGCCGAGTACGGTTTTTTTGCGCCTCGATCTCAGGCATTTTTTTTTTTTACCGTGGTGCATGGGAACTTTTATAATAATATTTGTGTTGTTTTGAGAAAACACCCTTTCCCTCCCACCCCACCCCAACGAGTATAATGCTTTGGTTTTTTTGTCTTCACCCTCTCAGTTGAGATAAACCCCCTTCCCCCCCCCCCCCCCTTCACTTCCACTCAGTACCTCGAAAAATACTATCTCAACTCCATTCAGTCCTTTGAAACCTCTGGCTTTAAAATATTGTCTGCTCCTAACCCCTTAACCCCTACATGTGACTGGCTTCCAATTTCTCCTTACATTATCTTCCTTGAAGCAAACGTAAAGGTCAAGAGAGTCAAGGAAATGATCACAAATTTAAGAAACTCCTGATTGTCAAACAGATTTTCATTAAATTTTTCCTACCATAGGAAATGTAAAGAGAACAGTGTGACTGACTTCTAATTTGACCCCTTACACTATCTTCCTTGAAGCAAATTTAAAAGTGACAAGAATAAAGAAAATGATCACCAATTTAAAGAGCTCCCAATCATCAAACACATTCTGTCTGTACCATAGGAAATGTAAAGAGAACAGTGTGAAGAGAACAGTGTGACTGGCTTCTAATTTCTCCTTACATCATCTTCCCAGAAGCAGATGTAAAGGTTGTGAGAATAAAGGAAATGATAACCTAGTGAAGAAGCTCCTGATTGTCAAACAAATTCTCTTTGTCAGTACCATAAGAAATGTGAAGAGATCAGTTTGGGGAATATGAATACTTATGTTAGGGTGAAAAGGAGCCATAGGTTGAGGTTCGTGATAATAAACTAGTGTAACCATGTCTGATAGCATAATTGTTTTTCTTTTCATTTTCTTAGGTTCTTCTGTTGTGGTTAATGAGCTGCTCTCCATAATCAAGTTGAGACAAAAAGGGTCATATTATGAACCAATTTAATTCAATGGGTTTTATGAGAAAATTTCTTGTGCAAGTTAGACTTGTAGGACTTTTCAAGAATTGCTGTTCATCATTGCCTTTTATACAAGCCAGGGGTTTAACAAAAAGTGTTCTTGCATCACCTGTTAAACCACAACAAAACTGGATCAGGTGTAAAAGGATAAGCCTTGGCTTACCATCAGTCCTATGCGCTTTCAAGTCTGTTTCTGTGAAGACCCTGGCTAAGGATATTTCAGCTGTCAAGTCTGCCAGTGAATATCTTTACTTGTATGACAGATTTAAGGACTCACCTGCTATGACTCAAATGAATCGCATAACAATTCTGCATCATTTAGCCAAGGTGGCTGCCAGTGGACCAAAGAAGAACTTCTTCTCTACAAGAAAAGTTCTGAATGATGAAATGGAAATTTTTATCACCTTGTTGAACAATATTGGAAATGATCTTGAGACATGCAAGACTCGTGATCTTGCGACTATTGTATGGTCATTAGGAAAACTAAGGGAGCATGATGCATGGTTTGTTACAGAATGTGAGAATGAAATACTTCGGCGAGATCAGACCTCATTTCGGACACCAGCTGTGTGTAAGATTCTTATTGGTTTTGCTTCACTTGACTTGAAAAGATCCAAGTTCTTCGGAATCGTTGAACAAAGAATTCTGGATGGGCAGCTTAAGATGGCGAAATTTGAAAATCGTGGACTGGCTGGTGTTCTGTGGTCTTTTACTAAAACTGGAAATGAGAGTAAAGAACTATTAGAAAAGTTCCAAGAAGAGATTTTGTTGAGAGGTGTGAGAGAATTTAGCAATGACCAGCTTGCTCAGTTTTTATGGTCATTCACCCAGAAAGGAATTGTACCATGTGATAAACTGTTTTCAATTACAGAAGAGGAAATTTTGCAAAGACCAGTTAGAGATCTCAGTGCTCATTGCCTCAAGATGCTGTTATGGTCCTTTGCAAGAGCTGGATTTGAAGGGAGAGAAGGGCATGATCTTTTTGCTAGTTTAAGTCCTGAAATAATACGGAGAGGTGTTCATGATTTTGATGCAGATGATCTCTCGATGTTAGCATGGGCATTTGCCAAAAGGTGCCCAGATGCCCTAGAGATCTTTGATGTGATAGAAGAAGAACTCTACTTAAGAGGTTTTGCAGAGTTAGGAAACCAAGAATTGTCACATCTTTTATGGTCATTTGCAATGTCTGGTCATACAAGTACTGAGCTTTTTCTTAACAGCCAAAAGGTATTGATTTCAAGGGATTTAAGTATGCTAAAAGCTGAGCAGTTTACTCAGTTAGTTTGGGCATTTGGAAAATCAACACTTTTAAGATCAGAATTTTTAACAAAGGCAGTGAGTGACATGTTATCACATGCTACTGTTTACTCTGATGAGGAACTGTGTATGATATTAAATGGATGTGTTCAGGTATCAGTAGATATCCAAGAGCCTCTTAAGCAGTTGAAAAGAGAAGTTTTGGATAGAAACATGCCTCAAAATAAACCTGAGCTCATTCCTCAATTGGCCTCAGGTTTCTCTACATGTAGCTATGAAGCAGCATCAGTATTTGATGCGATAGAGAAATCACTGCTCACTAACAGCCTTTCTATGTATACAGAGCAAGAACTGCAAGGTTTAAGTATGGCTTTTTCTATAATGGATAGAGAATTTCCCAAAGTAAAGCAAAAACTATAGGAAGGGGGGGAAAGTTGATTGAGTGGAAAATATATAAAACAGCATTATCCATTAAAAAGATTAGTCATGCATTGTTGTATTTTTATTGAATAAAAATGTTTTGTTTAACAGAACATTGTAGATGAGTATTTAATACGTCTGCATCTGAATTGTGTTTTTGCTACCCACAATAACTCTTTACACACACTATGGACTTAGCACTTGTAAATACCTCAGTTTATCTAAGTATATTACTCTGATTTGGAAAAAAGCACTTGTGATTTTAAATTTTGACTTCCATTCTGTGCTACTACAATAATAGGCCAATCAATTTCAAGCTTCAACATCCCCCTTACCCTGGCAACCCATGGGTATTTGACCCTCATCTGAGCCTGAAGGGTTGGGAATTTGACCTTGCCTGGAAGGGGGAGGGGTTTGGCTTCAAATTGACTGACCCATAATACACTGATGAATAACCAAGGACCTCTTGAAGAGGAAATAACACATTTATGAACTTTACCTCTTGGAGTTAAGGTCCATTCTAATTTGAGCCTTTCCCTTAGCTTCCTAAAGCTTTTGCCAATGAATTATTTCAATACCCTACTCTAGATATTAATAGTGAATTGTTAATCTAATTATGACAGGGCTCATTGCTTGTCTTTGACATCAAATTTGTAGATGGTTTTCTGTTTGTAAGTTTCCCCTGGCTGAAGAACTGGACTTGGGAAGTTAGTCTGTTGACCAAAAAATAAACATTCAAGCAAATGAAAATACATAAATTGTTATACTACTGAAATAATACAACTGAAATATCCCTCCATTGCAGAAACACTTGAAGACTTTTCATGGGGACTTTATAGGCTTGAGGTTTGATGTTGGTTACAAATTACTATTGGATACAAACAAACACAAAACTAACTTGGTTAACAGCGTCAGGGTAATTCTGTGCCTCTAGGCAGAAGGCACCAAACTTATGGTAAAGAACACCTCCCTTGCCAGGGAATCCATCAAATCCATTGGCAGTGTAAAACTGAACTCCAGGCTGATCGGTGAACATTTTAAGAACACGCCCACTGCTTGGATGATACACTCTGCAAGATCATTACCATGGACTTGATTATTGGTATACTCCATGGTAAATTTAAAAGGTTTATTTAAATTTGTATTGCTGTCTATGTTATTCACTATGTTCAGTTTCTGGCGATGTTTAACTCTCTCTTTGGAGGGAGCTCTCAAGCTGGTGAATTGCAGTGTTGCAGTCTTTGTAAAAAGGACCCCATAGCCATACACAATCAGTGCTAACCTCAATTTACCCACAGTTCATGCTCTTTGTAGGGCTTTGTAATGTGCTCAGTTGTGTAACTAATTGGACATATTGATCATGTGTGGGTGTCCATGATATTGCAGTGTCTGAATGTGTTTAATTGTCAATTTCTTTTGTACTGATGTTGTGTTTTCGATATTTTTTTGCAATGTTGTGGATCTCAGAACTCCCCAAAGTTCCTATCAGCTTTCTGAGGCTTCAAATTGATAGAAGCTCTGTCTAAATACGATAATTTAAATTAACTTATTTGTAGATAAATTAAATCTAATCTCCTTACTCAGCGCAGCATTCTTTTTTTCCTTTTAAACAGTAGTTGTGATCATAGCCATCTATTTTATGAATGTCCTTTCCAATAGGTTTGGGTTTGGTGAAGTCAAAGGCATCATTAGGACTTGACACAGAGCATTCCTCACCTAGAATATATAATAATCACTGTAAAATAACTGCGCAAAAAATGGATTCTGATTGGTTTATAGATCTTCTAACAACAGAGGAAGTTTGGAGACAAAATTCTGCTTAGTTAGTTAAAGATTCAGGTGCCAATGGGTTAAAGAGCACAGATGTAACAGAAGGAAAAAGATATACAAATTGAAAGATAACAGGCCTCTGCACTACAACCTAAGAAGGGCCATATCTTTAAATGGAACTACACCATACATGAACACAAACTGAAAATTTTAGACTGTGTGTACCTGTGGGAATCTGCACATCATTTAGGGGCAGATAGTGCTTAGCATGGATCTGAGCTATGTGATCCAAAACATCATGGTCAACCTGACAAAGAACTTCAGACAATCAATAAAACAAGAATAATTTTACAATATCAAACAAATTTAACAAATTTGTGACTTAAGTATCATTTAAAACTGTTTGGTTGAGAAAATCTTGATTTTTCAACAAATTCTCCTTGTCAACACCATTGAAAATGTATACAGAACAGTGAGGAGAAAAAGTATACTAATGTTGGGGTATGAAGAGTTAAAAAGCTTGTACCTGACCAGCCAAGTTAAAGTAGCCATGGCTGGTGAGATTGATGATGGTGGGAGCCTTGGTTGTTGCTTTGTAGTTGAGTTTGACTTCATTGTGATCAGTAAGTGTGAATGTGAGTCTTACTGTTACATCTCCAGGAAAATTTTCATCCCCATCTGGACTTTGGTGAACAAACTTCACTTTGTTTTCTCCTTTTACTTCACTTTTCCAATTATACTGATGAACACGAAAACAAAGACAACAATGACAGTCAGAGCAATAAATTATTTTTAACTCACACAAACTAAAAGACTCTTGGGAGAAATACAGTTCTTTATCTATAAGCATCATCATATTTAGCACAAAGCGGACCTTGTTGAATCCAACCCATCCTCCATGTAGAGTATTTGGAGGATTATTGACGGCTAAATTGTATTCTTTGTTATCAAGGGTGAACTTTGCATTTGCAATCCTGTTTGCAACTCTTCCAACTGTAGCTCCGAGGTAATGAGGGTTACTCAGATAGTCTGAATAAAAAAGGAAATATGAATGATCGCAATTAAAGTTTCACAAACAAAATGTCCATTGCCATGCACAATCAGCAACACAATTGTTGACACATTATGGCCCAAATGCAATTAATTCTAGAAAAGTACACCTAAGCAGTTCAATTTAAACTCCATCAATAACTACTACCAGAGTTGCCATAGGAAGCCAGTAGCTGATGGAAACCACCCCCCCCTCACCCCCTACTATCAGAACATTTTATGCTTGGTTACTTTGTGAATTGTGATCAAAATTAGGAAATAATATTTTTTATTCTAACATCAAATATATATGGCTTAAAGAGTTACTCGAGTGTCCCAGAGTGCTAGATAACATGTCTCAAAGAGTTTCAAATTTCAAATTTTTCCAGGGGAACAAGCCCACATACCCACTAGAAGGGTGAGTTACACAGCCACATGCTATGCTTGCTTTTACTTACACGCATAATTCAATTCAGCCACCTCCTCAGTTCAGCTCATGCATCTTTTACATTCTCTTATGACAACCCTGTAAATTCTTACATAGACTTCTCAGTGATGGAGATTACAAAGATTAGATATTACAAGCACTTACCCTCCAACTTATCATAGCCCATAATGACATCATCCATCTTTCCATTCCTGATTGAGTTAAAAAAAAAAAAAAAAAAAAAAAAAAAAGTTGTGAGCTAGGGATTTAAAACCATATTTCTTAACAAATAAGTGCCTAGGCCCTTATCTAAAAATTTAGCTTAATTCGAAAGAGGGCTAGCATCTTATTTCTACTTCTAAAATCATCCCTGAATTAATCATTAATGTCACGAGAATAGAGGAAACGATCACCAACTCAAGAGGCTTTTGATTGTAAAACAAGTCTCCATGTCAGCACCTTGGGAAATGTTTATGGAATAGTACGAAAAATATAAATACTGCTGTTAGGGTGTAAGGGGTTAAGCTAATTAGTTGATAATTACCTCCACTTTACTGAATAATAATTATATATAAAAGTAATGGTAAAAAAAGTGTTTGTAAGGTTAAGATAATGATAGCGACAGTTGGTCGTACATTTGCGAAATGCTCGGCTGTCTGGTTGTACATTACAGGTAGTCGGATGCTGTGTCAAGCACCGGAAAACCTCGTAATAAAAGTCTGTCCATGAGTTGTGCAACGTGTACGAATAAAGTTTTATAGAATATTCCGTTTACTTTCTACCACTCACCCTCGATCCTTGCCACTAAATCAAAAGGCAAACAAACCCAATATGCAATATATAACGTATCACGAAAATTTCAAGAACAAACCCAAGTTTACCTATCAGGGCATCTTAATGCTACGAAAGTCGCTCCGAACGAGATCACTTCCAGTTCCAGTCCGTGTTTGTTTCTGATAGTGTATTTCCAAACGTCCTCTCCTGATTCTGTTTGGCCAAAAACCTCTCTAGAGACCACCATTTTGAAACTACGATACTAACCCGGACTGCGACTCAAAGGAAAGGCTGCCACAGACACCAAAAATATTCGATACCGTCGAACTCAACGTCGGAACTGAATTGAAAATATTGATTCCAGCAGGAAGTACAGATGCTACTCGTGGCAGCCTTGTGACCTGTAGGGATGAGCCGGAAATAATGAATCGGGCAAGATTTCCTTACCACTTTCCTTTCCATTCTTCATTAAATATGAATACAGTTCTTCGATTGAAATAAACATTGATAACCATTTCTACAAAGGCTAATCGGGCTACACGAAAATCTTTCCAAAATTCATTACCTTCGATACCAAGGTTGCAGATCTGTAGAATTCAGAGTTAACGAGAAGTATCCAACCCTCGTGCTACAGCAATCAGCCACTCACTTCCGTTCCCGTGCGCGCTCGTGCCCTTTGTGGCTTCCTGAGCCTGCATTCTACTTATCATCACCTCGAGGCGAGGAAAGAGCAATCGTGTTGATTAAGCGATCGATTGTTGCTGTAGAATTAATTCAAAGTAGTGTGACCGCGAGTGCCCTAATATAGGATGGTTTATACTATGATCAGTCTCTGTGGTAACCTTTGACTAAATTGCCCGTGTTTGATATAACGAAAGAGGATGAAACGTCAAATAACAATCAAAGGCCATCAACAGAACGCCGTAACGACGTAGAGCTCAGAGGCGCGCCATGCGAGGAGAAATTGCGCCTCGAAAAATTCTAAATGTCAAAAGACAACGGCGCTTCGGTCTCAGTGTATTTTCGATTTGCAAATTATACAAATGGGATCATCGTATCGATCGCAGAGCGCTGTGAAATAACAGTTCACTCTCGGTGCCCGGGAATTCCTGGGAACAATTTTACTCTCCCATGACTCAATGCGCGCGTGCTTTATCTTGAATTTTAGCGGGAAATCATATCGAAAATCTTGAGTTGCCACGGAACTATGCGTTGGGTCTTCATGCAAGGGATCTTACGAGAAGGTGAAGTTTATATTTCAAATTTTAAAGTGTAATGTTACAAGTTTCATTTATCAGGGGCAGGGAATTGCCTTAAAATTGCCTCAAAATTGCCTATGCGTGTTTATTTCTAATTGCCATAAATTTCCAGCAGAAACGTTTAGGAAATGCTTCTTATCTCTGTCAATCGGTAAATTTATTCGCTCTTGTCTCTCGGGATTGTTACCTTGGACGTAAACAGCCGATAACTAATCTATCCAGATACTATTTACTTATTTAAGATACCATGTTGCTGTTGGCTCGTTCGTAATGAATCACAGACAATTGCGTCACTGATGTTTTTACCACATTGTTGACGTCCTCTGTGATCTATTACTCAAGTATTACTGTACAAACCCACCACAACATAGAGTCTATTTATTTTAAAAAAGCAAAATGTTGTTTATGGTGACGTCACCTACATGCGTCTATCCTACAGGTAATACATAAGAACAGATCAGAATGCATGTAGGATTAAAATAGCAGATCACCTGTAAGTCAAAATGCAATGAAAGCGCAAAAGTGACACACTAGGTGCAACCGAGTATGTCATTGATGTTCTTAATACATTTTGACGCGTTTTCTGATCTAATACTGAACAGAAAAACGCTAACTAATAAACGCTAACTAACTAACGCTTTAATAACGTAGAATCTATTAGTTACAATGGTTATAATATCTCTGTATCTGTTCACCACTACATCATAATCAGGAACCAATCAAAATGCGGGCATGACTCAGTGTATTATATAAATTATTATATCACATAATATAATCACATAATATATGCATACGTAGGGGGTATGCATGCCGAGCCTTCGAGTGTTGATAATAATGCTTTCGGTTAATGTACAATTTCACCAGGAATTATTTTTTCGCTACAGGCAAAAAAATTTTGAAGTTAATAGCGATGAAAAGACTTGTTTCATACATAGGAGGATCACTTTTCTCAACAGAGTTAATTAGTCAATTAAGTAATTTGGGGCTGCCATTGGAGGAGCTGTCTTATTAATATTCTGCTGTTGATTTAATTTCACAAGGCTTGGATGCAATGATGCATTGGCTAACCCTAACCCTAACTCTATTGTGGCTGGTTTAACCTTTCCCTAAGATCTAATTAGTATTTCTCCCACTGAGTGTCAAAAATTTCTAAGTAAATAAGTCAGGAGAATTTTTCATATCAAGATAATGCCGTTGAGCTTTTTAGCATATGTGTTCTTATAACCTTTTTACAAGTAACATATTGGAATCACAGAGAAAATTTGAATGTTAGACACAATAAAAGAGTTAATCATTCGATGGGTTACTACCATTTTGACAAGTATGGAACCTTGGTACGCGCGGGTTTCGCGCGCGCTGCGATTTCCACCATTAAGGATTAATCATAAATGCAGCAAGTCTAGCAAGTGCGGCCAAACGTTTTCATACCCCAGCAGACGGAACCAAGTAACAAACGAGACAGACCAAACGATCAGTGCATAAAATATTGACTGTGCACACATAAAATGTCGATGCGGGCAGGTATGATAAAAGAATTCGAAGTGCCGCTACAATTATTATCATATTATTAGCAGCCTTGTTTCTTTTCTTTTTTTTTTATTATTCGCCTGGCATCTTCGTTAGATAACAGCTGCTGCGATTGTGGGTGGCGTCTGTGATCCTTGGCTTCAAAGAACACAGCTGTGCCAATGTAGACAATGATAACTATGTGAAGGAGAAAGTCAGAGGTATTTATAGTACTAGCAATCACCACCTTTAAGTTTTTATTTTGATCTAACACCAAATTCTTGCAATTATTATACAAGAAAATGTGTAGTAGTTAGAGTGGAGAATTAGCAATTAGATCATGGGAATTGGGAGTTCAAACTGAATATAATGTTGTCGTCAAAAATCGAAAAAGTTTAGTTGAACAAATCCCACAACAATCCCAGCGATCGTAAACGAAATGAAAACTGAAATATTTGTAGAGATACCAAAAGAAAACTGGTGTGTTGTCGTCATTTGAACTTTTTGCGAAAAGAAAAGCTTTATTTTTAACTATTTGCCATATAACTCTGAAAATGAGTTCAAATAACGAATTGTTGATGGAGACGTGACACCGTGTGTCCATGTGACTCAAAATAAATTCAGAAGTTCCTTTTTAAACCCTGATTATAAAAGTTACGAGCAGTGACCAATCACAACCATGTCAAGCAACAGAAGCCAAATGTTTCATGCAAATCTTGATCCTCAACAACTTTGATCGTTGTTGTTCTTCATACCGTTCCTTTTTTGACTGGCTGTTTAGGCCCGTCCATTCCTCACTTTCGTCGGATGGAAAAGCGCGTGTCAAGAACTGACCTATGGCGCTCTTGATAACCAACTCCGGCGTTTGACTCATCATACGAACGGGTTTGCGGCCGGGAAGTTCGTCCTCATTTTTGGCTGCGACTTTTGAGTACATCAAGAGGAATTCTCGAAACATGTTCACTTGAGCTAAGGTTTTGGCTTCGTCTCTCTTACGCACAATTTCGGGACATGAGATCGCGGAGACTTTGCGCAAGATTTTTCGACTGGTTAAGTTTGGAACGTAACCCTTTGCGGTAGCTGGTCGAATGACTCTTGTCTCGTCCGTTTGCAGATCGACCTTGCGCCTTCTCAAAATTGGAGAGCTCAAGGTTCTCTGCGTCATTTGTGATACTGAACTTGTACATGATCTTGCGGACGAAATACGCCTTGCAGATATTATTCCTTGCTCTTGGCGTGAGATTTTTCGTGAGCGTGTTCGATTTTGTCTTGAAGTTATTGGACCTTGGCATCTATCTACGCCCGAGGCAAACGTTGCTGCGCTCATTACTCTCTCTTGATTTACGGAAACTTTACGAGGAGTCGCCGATTTCACACTTAGGATTTCGCTGTTGTCCCCGACCTCTGCAACACTTACGCTTTCAGGTACTTGTTCTTCTTCGTATTTGTCAGCTCTCTCTTCAAGCGACTCGCCTATTTTGGGTTCAACATTAACCATTTCGTATCCTGATTCAGACTTGACAAATCTAACACTACTTTTTCTTCTTCTAATGATATTTTGTAGTGACTCTTTTAACTGTGGATCAGTAAATTGATTCAATACTTCCTTTTCATCGCACGAAATCTCTTCGGGAAGCATTTTTCGCTCGCCCACTCCACTATTTTCTGGATCTGAGCAAGTACTTAAAAATATCTCTTCATTGCAATTGGACATTTCGAATTCTATATTTGATCTACGCTCGCTGTCACTTTGTTCTCTTGAGCTTAAGTTTTCTGATACGTAAGCTTTCGACTGAGAATTCTTTCTGATAGTCATGTCGGAATTATCCTTACAACTGTTATCAATTGAAATAAGCGGAGTGGAAGTGGTCGTGTATCGGCTATAAACACTCGGCTTATTTTTTTGTGGGCGATTCAGCGTTGTGTGTTTTTTAGTGTTTAATGGAGTCTCTCGCGGTTCCTTCCTACAGTACTTTTTGTCTCTGTCAATTCTCTTGCTTCCTACTCCAGATACAACACTCGAAATTTTACCCGCAGAACATCCAAGCCTTCCTGCATCTGGTTTCTTTGACGTTAATTGACTATTCCTGTCACCAGTCTTGTGGCCTTCGATTTTCAACTGGCTTTGCAAACTTTTGCGCATAAAATTCATTTGATGAATTACTCCATGAGGGTCCTTTTTCGCTCCTGATGAAAAGACGTTATGTGTGTTTCCAACTTGGTTTAATGCCTCCAAAATGGCTGCTTTCTTCGCGGTGTTTGCAATCATCTTTTCACGGGCTAAGTTTAATCTGTCCACAACATTTCCCAATGTAATATTTTCATCCTGCAATTTACACTTTAAAGTGTTGGCAGGCCTTGGCTTCGTTTCCTTACCGTGTGATGTCATGATTTCCAGGAATTGAAATGGTTGAAGAGATTCTTTCGTAAACAGGACTGTTATTTGGAAATATTTATCATTGCCGTCTCGAGACTGAGTGTTAACTCTTTACTTTTCAAATTGTGTCAACCAACATTGATCTCAATCGATAAGTTCAGGTGTTGTAATTGAATGGTTTTTCTTTGTTGTCAGCTTTTACGTCGGTTGCTATACGCTTTGGAAAGGCATAGCAACTAATCTACATCAGCGCTGCAATTATCAAAACGCTTCCTTTTCAAACCAATGTAAATTCCTGACTCGAAAAACCGGATCTTAATCAAAGTTGCACGATTTCCCAGTCGTTACGTCTACGATACATATTCAATGGCGAAGGAGTTGATGTAAAATTAGCTTCGAATTGAAGCTCATTTGCACTGTTTTTCTCTCGAACCGAAGATTAAGTCATTCAATTGTTCAGACATCGGACGGTTGTTTTCGTCTTTAATGCCTTTGTTATATATTTGCATTATTGGACAATGTGATTTTAGCATCGACGCCTTGAATGCTTTGTTTTCGCCCCAATTCTGGTTGAAAAGCTATTTGCAGATGTTGAAACTTAGCATTGTTATAAACAGTTTTTATATACGCACTTGATCTTGCTTTTGAAAGTCTGTTTGAGAAGCTACTTTGCCTGCACTCATGGTTTGTGAAAATGCACGAGATTTTGACTGAATACGGCCCAAAGAAATTGCTTTTGACAAGTTTTTTGAAAAGTGATTTACAAGGTGTAACC